CTTTGTGTTACCTTCAGATGAATACAAAGATCGATTCTATCTTAGGGAATACTTTTGTAAAGAAGTCTTCTCTACAGACCTCCTTCGAAATATGTCGCTCAACCATCCACCCACCTGTTCGACCGCAGCAGCTCCGGGTCAGAATCATTAAAATAAATAAAATAAAAACACTCACTCATTGACTACGTTCATAGAGTTAAAAGTAAATTGAAATTACGAGCAAGTATACTATCAACAATTATAGAACTGTCGAAACGTTCAAAGAGTTCATCGATTCCCAGTGTTGAAGTTTTCGTTGTTAAACGAAGAGCTTTTAGAGAATCAGTTTTCTTTTGAGTTTAGTCAGGCTGCTAGTTTGCCGTGTGATACATATGTGGGTCAAAAAAACAGAACACAAGCGGCGCACTCACCCCCGCAAAGAACGTGCACGTGTCCATTCGGGCTCCGAACAGCATTGCAGTCAGAAGGTTACGTCCACTTGCAATGCTGTGCGGACTGGTTGGCGGGGAGTAATGACGATTTGTGCACGCATGCGTTGATGGTCGTTAATTACTCTTACCGAACACAAAACGAGAAAAGGACAGATACGAAGTCTGTAAGTTGCGGTAAACATTATTGAGCGTCATTATATTATTGAGCATCATTATAAGCATCAAACTTTTTAAAGCGGAGAAAAAAGTAAGAAGGAAGGAAGGACAAGAACAACAAGAGAGAAGGCAGGGTGGTTTATGCTCCCCCTTCTCATTTTCACTCTACGCTGTGAAAATGGGAAGGGGGAGCATAAACATGAGAGGGAGAAAAGAGAAGACAAAAACGTAAGCTGCAAAAAAGTCGTCACGCAGTTTACGTTGTTGTCCAATGTCCTTCGCCATTCTGGAAGGTCATCGTTATGCGATATTCCATTTCGGTAGACAGTCAAACTCAAGAAAATAATAAAGGCATGATACATTAAGGAATGCAGTCGTAGAAGCCGGTTCACCAGCAATTCGCTATTGCTCTCGCTGGGTCAATGTAACTCGTGACAAACGAACTGAAAAAGTGACTCACTGAATTCTAGTTCATCAATTAGTTCGCATACTTGTGTGCTGAAAGAATTGCTTGGTAGGTTTCTACATCAAGATATTGTTTTGAAGTGCACGTTGAACAAGCGTATAGTAGTTTCAAGAAGTACCCAGAGCACTGGCACAATAAAAGAAGCTCCTAACACAGACACTTAGAGAAAAAAAAACGAATAAATGAAATTCGACGTTGTCAAAAAAGTAAGAAAGTTGATGCAGCCAAGTCTTCTGAACACAGTACATGTGGCCTGATATATAACTTGCTGTCTACTACACTTCTTTGCATAACAAACTACTTATAACTATTGACTGATCCGTTAAGAAAGGTACATATAAAATAAATCATCGCTGCTGGAACGATGCGAAATAAAGTGAATGTCCTCAATGACGACAACGACTAAGAATAACTACAAATCATCTCTATGTGTCCACTTGAAGCCCTGTCCTCTGCTCCGATTTTTTTGTTTCGCACTTTTTTTTTTGATCTGCAGGAAGGTAGCATGCATGACGACGAAAAGGTAACCAATATTCGCTAAGTGACATAAATCACAATAAATGACCTACTATATCTCGTATACGAATGCGCAAAGCACTTATTCCGCTCAGCGCATTCAGGAAGCCCTAATGCATTACGTACACTCTCTCTCTAAATGCCAAGAGCTCTGCGCCCCCGTGATAATCGAGCTATCTGTATTCCAATGCGCATGTCAGCAGATAAGGAGGGAATTTCATTACTTGCCGTTATATTCGCCTCATTTATTCTTGGCATTTAGATGTGTCTTTACTTTTCTTCAGCTCCAAGCGCTCCAAGAACGAACATTTCGGTGATGGATTCGAATCACCTTCCTTTCAGAACCTAAAGGCTTCAGGACTTTACTATCTGAAGACACATCTCTTATTTTTCGTGTTCATGGTTAATGAAAAACGCTATTACTCAGACGGAGAGTAAGAAAGATAAGCAAACGATTAAGCAAACCATCAAAAAGTTTATATAAGCATAATGACGCGTCGGTGCAACGAGTAGGGTGTCAGAAGAAAAAAATCTCTCAGCCCACATACACTTTCTGGAGTTTGGCAATGGAACGCGACGTAGCAATGCTGTCGTATTTCGTTTTCATCGCACTTCGCTGACATTCCTTTGAAAGGGAGTACCATGACACGGCTGCCCGAAATTCCCCTGTTCCACTTTACAACGTTTCAATCGCTTCCCTCTGATTGAGAAATTTTTTCACGTTATAGGTGTTTTTGCGAACAGAGGCTATCAAACGGCTCCTTCCTAAAGTAGGCAATTACGTGCAAAGTAATGGGAATGACATCGGAGGAAACCCGACAAACTGCTCACGGCCAATTCGCGATGGCGGCTGTTTATATGGGAGGAGTGTTGTTTTCTGAAAAGGACATTGCACTATCGATTGAGCGAAGGTGTCGAGTGGTCGCGTTTTCATCGTTTGTAGGTTTTAATGACGGGCCTTTGCCAGCAAGCATAAGTGGCAGGCATGTATACAAGAACATGTAATTTGAAAGGTGTTAACTCTACAAGCACTGCGTGTTAGGCGCAAGCCTTTTGCCTTTCTTCAAAAAAAAGTTCCTAAACATTAAAGGTTTTCCCACCTATAACATCAAATTAGTTCACAGTGCAGTTATTGAAATAATTCAGAAACAACCACCACGCTCACCGCGAAAAAACGTACGAAAGTGGCAGTGCCAGAAATAATTTAATGCGGATATTGAAACAATCACTAGATTGTATAAGCAGCGAAAATTCGGGCGTTTGCGCACACATGCTTTCACGTAACAAAACAGACGTCGAAAGCCAAGATACCAGCTAATGCGCTAATATTCGTGGCTATCATGTAACTGGTGATTTCGCATACATTTTGCCGACCCCACACCTTAACAATAAAATACTTATACTTATTATGCGGAAGTGATAATTGGTGCATTCTGTCAATACGATCACATTTCATTTGGTGGCGATAAAACCTAAAGTATTAAGGGAGGAATGAGTAACCGGTAGAAGTTTTGGACACCACATGAATTATATTCCAGCAGTACTTGGTTCATGACAAATGCGTGCTCACCTGATCAGGCATGCTTCCCAAGAGCGATCATCATAAGCCACCGACGTAGAATTTCAATCAGTTAAAAAAAATATCGTGATGTCGAGCATATGGTACAAGTTAACCACAAATGGTCATTTGGAGCGCGCAAAACAAAGAGAGACTGTCAGACAGTGACGTCCCTATATACGATATAGGTCCTATAAATATTCCGAGAAGCAAACTGCACACAATTAAGCTCTAACATACAGCGTAGGTCTTAGTAAACGAATACAAATGTTTTTAGTAAGGCTTTGCCCTACTGTAGCAAATACATTCATAAGTATATAAGAGAAAAAAAATCAATCTCCATTTGTACAAATAAATAGTAAGCGCTTGCCAAAAGATGGATAAGATGTGTACACTGGCTGAGGTCTGAAACTATATAAAATCGCTTTTTTTTGCTTCATTTGATTTCTTTTTCGCTCAGAAGATAGCTCTGAAAGCTGTGCACCTGCCCCACAGATATACACAATGAAGGAACCACAGGGTGCAATCAATTTGGCGGCCAAGTTCGTCTCTCAGAAAAGCCTTCAGTGTGGGCGTTCTCTATCGAGCACCCTCGCTCTGCCTGCATATGATTTAGGGCTGGGCGGTCCGGAAATCCTAGCATACGAAAGACCCAATTGTGTCTTTTATGGAAACTGGGGCGACTTTGTCTTATCGCACTTTTTTCTGTTCATGCAAAAAAAATACGATAAAAAAGGCTTGCCAGAAGAAAGCTGCGACTTACGGCCTTTCGCCACTTTGTATGTTTCAGGCTCTGTTGCTTCTTTTGAAAGCAGTAAAGACGTCGTTTATACAACTGCAGAAAGAAGCCAAGGGCTTCTCATTTACACTGATAAGCCAGAGACTTTTACATAAAGGCGATTCTGAATTTCGCCGATGCCGTGGTCGACATTTTCCTCCTTATTTGTAGTGATCTGTCGGGACCAGGCCCTGTGAGCTAGAACTTTGCGCCATCGCTTAGAAATTCAATGGCATCATGGCTTTCCTGCCGTTTTTTATCGTGTTGGCCTAAAGCGTAGACCGTACATGAAGGGTCCGACAAAATAGGGTATTTTATTGATCTAGGAAAATAGATTGCATGCTGATATTTCGCATCCCTCAATTTATTATGATTACTTTTTGTGACAGCCAAGACTCATTCTGTGCCGGCACTGCATCTGTAGTTTTTTGCGGAGCTGTCATTATTTTGTATTTCAAAAGCAATGAAATACCACAATGAGCACTTATTATTCAAACAATCAATAAGTCCATCAAATAACTCAAAGAGCTATTACAGTTCACCGGACGACCTAGAAGCCTAGTATAGGCCTATTTAAGATATGTTTGTGAAAATAAATCTACAAAAAGTTGGTACTTTATTTGACACTGCAATATACGCACGAAAGGATGATAAAGAGTCGCGTGCATCGAACATGATTTCTTTTTTAAAAAATTAGATTTGAACTACATCAAACGTCAAGTTCTACAGCGCGACAGAGTACGAGCAATTTAAGTTTGTCACTCTGTTTGCAGTTTGCTTAATATAAGTTAATTTTTTTTTGTATTCTCGATGGTCCGTGTAACAATAATGTGTGACGGCGAAGGTTCGCCAGAAGAAGTTTACTACATTGTAATGAGCACTGAGAAGAAAGCTTACCGAAAAATAAATGTGTTGCACTGTTGCCTATCTACTTACTCTTGCAAGACGCCGTGGGGTGCCTTCTTGCCAAGGCTAATCTACATAAATATATTCGACCACACTTTGAACCAGAAAATCAACGCATAGAGCCGAGGTAGACAAAAAATTGATGAAAAGGAACGTCCACAAAAAACACGTAACGTAACATTTACCAAAATGCAACAACAAAGGTGAGACATTCAAAAAACTGTCAAAATTGATGTCTCGTAGCAGACATTGCAAAAGTTCAAAAAGTTTTCGCGTGAACATGAAGACTCCCTCAGCACGCATAGTTCTTTTAGCGACCGCTTATTCGTGAGACCGAGATATGCAAAAATGGGTGTGCGTAGCGTTAGCGCTGTAGCAACCACACGTGCCTCGATCAACTTTTTAGATATCTAAAAAAAAGTTGGCCCCGATGTGCCCTGTATTTTGTAAAGTGCTACTTCGCAAAGTGTACTCGAATTGCGATGCTTCAGACGTTATCCGACACTATGATGAGGTTTTCTTTATGCAAAGCTGAATGGCATTTCCTATATGTCTGGGGAAATGTCGGCATACAACGAGTGTTTTTTTTTTGAAATTTTTCTAATGTTTTGTTCTAGCTAAACATTTTTATGAATGCCCTTTATATCTATAATGAAAAGCCACCTTATGAAGCCTTCTTTGTCTTTCACATTTTACTGAATCATCAAAATTGCACCTAAGTTTAACACGAAGTTATATTGCATCTTCTCGAGTTATGTTGCCCATTTTCATGAAGTCATTTACAGTAAAACAAATTACGAACGTAACGTCTGTAATTAGAAAAATGGTGAACTCTTTGCGTTGAACGGTGACTTTTCGCTACTATTACAAAGTAAAAAACACGGAGCCTGGATGCTATAGTTGCGTACCAAAATTGGTTCGGGCAATGAAAACACTGCGTGCTTGTTACTGAACACGGAGTGTCATTAGGATAACCTTATTGAAAATTACTTATTTCATTCCGCTTCGTTATACATTCGGCTTCAGCGAGATCTGAATTGGTTCCTTTTGTTCTCGCTGAAGTACAATAAAAATTGTAGAATGAAGGGTGGCTCCGATGCTTTTAAACTCCGCGCATGCGCTTACTTAAGTTCTGTCATTCATTATTATGAAAACACGGCTAATCTTCATAAACCACGAACATAACAGTAACTCCTGTACAATCAATATACAAAAATTCGACGCTGTATTCAGCCTTCCAAGCAATGATTGATAGTCGGTGATGTTAGCGAAAAAATGAGTGTTCGTTTCTTTGCGCATGATAGAAAGAGAGACAGAAAGAAGAGTGCGCAGGCTGCGTATAACCGTCTGCACCAAAACACACACGGCAGACAAGCTGTGGTTTATACTAGGGTAAGAGAAGGCTCAGCCGACGAAGGCCAACGCAGTAGAGTGTGCCAGAGTACCGAGCATGTCCTTGAGGCTGATATAGAAGTCTTTTGCTGCAACACCACCGTGCCATGGCTCTCTGCTTTCTTTCTCTCCTTCTCTCATTCTTGGTGTTCATCGCCGGCACCACGTGGTTTTACTGAAACCTCGGCCTTAGCGACGCGGGCTATTCCTCATTCCGAAGGCCGCCTAAGGATTAGCGTTTCGACCAGAGCTGAGACAAGCAAGCACGTCCAGAGCTGCTGAGGAGATTCAGGGCCGTTTCCTCGGGCCACGCGAAAAACGATGCTTGCACGTGTTTTCGTTGCATCCTGACGTGCCGTTGCTTTAGTTTCCTGCCTCTCCAGTTGTGACGCTTTTTTCTTCCTTGCTGCCTCGCATCTGACTATGGGGTCTGATGTAAACCAGCTCACGTGTTTACACTTGCGGCTTGTTTTTCTCTCACAGCAAAGGACGTCGCCTTTACGACGTTCTGTTGCTTACACCTTTGTTCGTAATGATGTGCAAGTATTCTTGTGCTTCACCTAACCGAACGTCTAAAGTGATGAACGGAGCTGTTACCCGTCTCACTGCAGCCTATTCTGTTGTTAGCATTGACCCTCCAGTTAAGGCTCTTCATGGACCTAATACAGTGCGGCATTCAGCAGTTACTTGCCATCATTTGCGTATCCTAAGGGAAACTTCTTAGGACTATCAGCTCGAAGAAATTTGAGTCTGAGCTTTCACCTTGCTAAGAAAAAAAGAGTGATCTCTCTCAAACTGCGCTAGGAATATGAGAAGCGTGCGCTTGCTGATGAAAAATAGGACAGCGAACATGCTATCCTAAACTAAGCCTCTCTACGGTCTATCCACTTCAAGGACAAGACGTGCTTGTTTTAAAAAACAGAGATAAAGCAACCACCTTTGAAACTTTGAAACTTTGAAACATGAACGCTGAGCTTGCCATCCTACACGGAGATAAAGAAATCCAGAGGTATCTTGACAAATAAATAACGCGTAGTTTTCTTTTCTTTCTATTCATTCTGTACGTTGCACCAACTGTTAATTCTGAGCAAAATCAGGAAAGTTTGTTTTCAATCAACTCAGAGCGACATTTGGCGTGTAACATATGCGAGATTCAAAAGAAGGCATAGTATAATTACTAGGGAAAAACTATATTTTTGAACAGTGACACCCATTTCATACTATAATACAAAGACTATCAAAATGATTGCTCAGTACAGGATCTAGGCACAACAACATTTAAACTAAGAATATTTTCTCTTAGTCCTACATATCTTCCTTGCATTTTCCTGAAGGATTAACGAATTTTAATGCAATCACCACTTTATTGGAAAGGTGTACGCGTATTCTTGAGAATATGTAACACTGTGGAGAAGAGTTTTTTTTTTTCCTATATGAAAGTGAATTTCGACGTTTTCCTTACAAATAGAAACAACGGTGCCTGAATAGGTCCAGAATAATGGACAGTAGTCACCTTTGGGCTAACAACGTTTATTACGCCATTATTTCCCCCTATATTTGCGCACCTGTGTTGCGGTAAATCGTCGACTCTGAAGGATAGTCGCACGTGCAAAAATTCTTCAAATTAAGGTGATATCGATCAATGCACATGGAAGAAAATGAGTCATGGGTAATTTTCAATGAAAAAATAAATCACTTTGCTTTTTCGCATGAATGACTGGTAACGTAGGCTTTAATGAGGTTCACAGAGACAACCTTCTATCTATTGGCATTACTTACGAGTGCTCCGCTCACGTTGTCTGGATCTCTCCTTACTTACCTAATGCATGAATTTCGATTTGCTCAATATAACCTGCTAGCTGTATTTAATGAAATAATTGAAATGGGTTACTGGAATGTTTGCATGAAAGAATGTTTGATGTACTAGAACGTTTAAAAGAATAACATCTCTGTAATGCCCTTTTGCGATGTAGCCATTGCACGCAGTGCAAAGTCGTAAGTGAAAGGCCATTTGTCTCCTCTTCAAATATCGTTGAGTAGGTTCACAGGCCAAACTTTGTTTTCACAAAATATTGGCAGACTATTTCAGAAATGTCGCACTATTCCTTAAGCTTTAGAGAACTCTTACATTCGGCAGCCTTCGTTATTACATAAGGTATACACATCTTGCAAATACTAATGTGCGCCGATTTACACATTTCTTTATCGTGTGAGGTTGCCCCGCCGCGGTGGTCTAGTGGCTAAGGTACTCGGCTGCTGACCCGCAGGTCGCGGGTTCAAATCCCGGCTGCGGCGGCTGCATTTCCGATGGAGGCGGAAATGTCGAGGCCCGTGTGCTCAGATTTGGGTGCACGTTAAAGAACCCCAGGTGGTCCAAATTTCCACAGCTCTCCACTACGGCGTCTCTCATAATCATATGGTGGTTTTGGGACGTTAAACCCCACAAATCATCATTTATCGTGTGAGTGGTTGTTAATTTTAGCCAGTTAGGATGATAGGGTCATCATGCAGACACAACATTCGGTTGCAATTGGCCAAATCGCTTACTAGTATTTCGTATAGCCTGACGAATTTCAGAGAACATTTTGCTGCTCGCTTTGTCGCTTTCTCTTTTGAATTTTTATTTATTCATTGCACACCAGAGATGTTCTTACGAATGAAAGAATGTATTCATGAGTAAGTTTTTCCATCGTTTTACGATACTTGTGCGCAACCATACTTTTCTCACTTCTCCGTGTTATCAGTCAATCTGTGTGACGTAACATTTACTTTTGTCCTTTCTTATTTCGCAGGTGTACAAGAACCTTGAAAGGGAAGCTCCATAGTGCATTCCAAGGCCAGTCCTTTGCGTTCCTGACTACGAGAGACCATGGATCTGCACGTTGACCCGGATCTACCGGCTGTGATTCCGCATTTCGGTGAACTCGGCACTAAACCTCACTGCCCAAAACCGAGCTCCAAGTTTCCCCAGCTCCATCCTCGTGGACGAATCGTCCGGTACCTTGCACTTCGTGCCATCTGTGGAAGCCGATGCCGCTGCGTCCGCGTCTGTCGGCGGCGCAGAAGGCGGCCCGTCGACGACGTCGTCTAGCTACATAACTCTCGAAGTTCACTACACCTTGCTTCTCATCATCATGGTATCCTAGCGTCGCCGTCAACGGTCTCGTCTTTGTCCTCTTCTACCAGCGTCCATCGGTGCGTATGACATCGAACAAGTTTGTACTCAACATGGCCATCGTGCATCTCCTGCAGACATTCATCGTGCTGCCGTTCGTGTTCGTGTCCATCATGTTTCAAGAATGGATATTCGGTGACGTCTGGTGCAAGATACACGGCACCGTGTCCGTGTGCCTAACAATGGCCAATATCTTTTCCATACTGCTCATTGCGGTGGATCGAAACTGCGCCGTCAACAGTCCACTGCACTACTCGATGACTATCACAAAGAAACGCACGAGTGGGACTCATTGTATCGACGTGGGTCTTCGCGGTGCTCCTTTCGGTGCCACCACTCGTGGGAGTCTCAAATATAGAGTACCAGGAAAGCTGGGCCATGTGCACCATCACGTGGTACGACACGAGCCTGCTTACCATATCGTACTCATGCGTCCTCTGCGTCGTAGGCTTCCTGCTGCCATTTGTGAGGATAACGTGGATCTACGCATCCATGTTTCGCGCGGCTCGACGCAACAGCGCTCGCGCCCGCCTTCACAACATCAACACCAGCAGCAGTGAGATGAGCCCGCCCCCGTCAGCGGGACTGGAAGCGGGAAGCCATCCACCCCTCTACGTGCACAGGCGGGCGGCTTGGTCTAAGCGAACTTCTTCTTTGAGCCAGGCGTCATCGCTTTTTGGCGACGAGTGGAAGGCCGTGCGGACGGGAGTGCTAGTCGTGGTGTCGTTCACGGCGTGCTTCCTCCCGTTTTTCTCCATGACCTTGGTGGAGCCGCACGCTCGAACACGCAAGACTGCCCTGGGAAATCTACCGGCCATCTCTATGTTGTTTCTCTTCTGTTCCTCACTCATCAATCCGTACCTGTACGTTATCAGAAACAAGGTGATGCGAAAGCACGTCCGCAAAATGTTCACCTGCCTGAAGCGCAAGCCTAGTTTCTTCTCCCCACGTGGCTACCACTACAGCCACCAAAGTCCTCCACAAGAGAGAAAGTGCTCCGGAGAAATAAGAGTTCCTGGAAGCACAGCGTCTCTGCGTTCAGGCGGCAGCGTCGATTATCAGAGGCCCCTGGTGACGCACTCCCTCTACCAGAACAAATCCGGTGACTGGAGAATAGTCAGCGTTACAACGGACCCAAGACGACCGCCTTCTCGTCGGTCCTCTCTTATCGCGCAACAGCCACTGTGCGTAGACGACATGGCGCAACAGCAGCAACAGCAGTTCCAGCAAGAGCAGTCATACCACCAGCACAAATGCGGGCCTGGTTTACGCGGCGCTGCCATTAGAAACGGCTTCTACAGACGCGCTTCTCCTCGATAGCTCCAAGATCCTCTGTGCGCGCTATCCAAGCACAGTTGAGAGGGATCCAGATATCGCATCAGTTAAGTCATCAAGCACCTCTGGAGGTGATCGGAGCATGTCCTTCCGCATTCGCGGCCGTTTTGCCAACCGTGAAGAGTCGACCGAAACATGCGACACGTCCTGCAATAGTAGTTATAGCCACGAGGATTGGGGTCGACACTTCATCGAGTCTTCGCAACACAGGAGAGCAAGCAACGCTAGACGCGAGTCACAGAGCAGCGTGTCTGCTATAGTAGAAAATGTCGAAGTGTACCCGACACCACCTGGTTCTACCAGCATTGCACAAGTACATCATGCTGCTTCAACAGCAGCTGGATATCCCTGCCGGCCAGTGCTGAAACGAGGCCGGTCATTTCGCGTTTGACGAACATGAAATGAGCGTGGCCTTTCCTCCGCAAAGGATTTCCCAAACCGGCGGGCTCCGGAAGTCCCGCTTTGCCGTGGCGAGGAACTCTCCGAAGCATGGCTCCAGCGACACCACTACTACAACACTAGAATCGTTGACGTCGACTGAGTCACAAGACCTTCCTATCATCGCGTCTCCACGCGCAATGTCTCCCACACTGAGCACGCCATACCACTACCCGTCCACAACATTCACGCACCCACACCACCACTCAACTCCCAGGGATATGGTTCAGTGCCTCTTTCCTGCTGGCATCGCCCTCAGCAACATCAGCAACACACCCAGTTGCCGACCGAGTGTCAGGATCGAAGGGACTCTGGCTTTGAGGACACTATGTTGGGGAGGTGTGACATATGCTGAGACAATTGTGAGTGAAAGTGGTTCTATTAAGGCAGTGAAGTTCATTGAGCATGCATAATTACCACACCGAGCCAACTTCCGTCGAGACGGTGGCTTACGTACAATGACTTCTGTTACTCAAAGACAAGCCTCCACTGGAGGGAGAGGCGAGGAAGACAACTTGAGCCTGTTCACCAGTCCACGAAAGTTTCATGTCATTTAGTGCATCTACGATACTGTGAATATCAACAACACTCAAGAGCAACGTAATCCTTGTGTTGGTGCAGCGGTACCACCAAAGTAGGCGTCAAATGTTTATAGACAATTTGTGCATTCAAGCCATGGAGGCTATCTTCTTGCATATTCTCAGGATGCGTCGTAATCATCAAAGCACAATATGTACATTTCCTAAAGCATGATCAACGAGATGTAATTCTCAGAGCTTCAGAGATATCTGAAGAAAGTGAGCTTCGGTAAAGGCGCACAATGAACATACACAAAAGAACATGGAAAGTTGCAAGTTCAAGCACCCTGCGTTCTTTTTTTTTCGTGTTTTCTTGCAATTTTACCCACGGCGAAGTTTTACCAACTTCTCCGGTTGACAACGCTGCTACGGGGCAGAGAGTCTGCATTCCCTGCATCGTGAGATCTAATGTGTAATGTACAGCAACGTTCCGCGGACGAAAACATGGCACCTCTCTAGTGCATGTACTACGTGAATTCCCCTTCATATGGCACAAACTATCGACATGCAATGTATGCTGCGCTTAGTTTCTTATGTATAACCACTTGCGAGAAGCAGAGATTAGAACTGGACGAACCGTGTTGTGACTGTGTCGCGCGTGACTCACACACTGTGACTCATTCATCGTATGGCATGCAAGTTCAAAGAAAGTTTACGGGACTGGTTACTTCTGTTAAACCTAACGTCAGACGAATAGTTCTGTGTATTTTTCTTTTTATTGCTATGTTATAGAGACCAAGCGGGGAATCAACGGAATGTTGCCTGTAATGTTACAATCCTGTCATGCATTTGAAGAGGTGATGTGCCTAAAGCGCGTTTATAAGATTTGTTTATAGTTTTGGGCAACTGTGTTAGGAAGTTTATAAATGTTGTTGCCAACGGATACGACATGAAAAAGGTTTCTTACAATCGCAAGCATAAACAATCATTACTAACTTTACTGAAGAGGTGGCATACTATTTTACCTCCTAAAAATTGCTGACATTGCTGTGTATCTTTGTGAGCTAAACGAGAAATCCTAATCAGCAGTGAATTCTCCGTTAAATATAGCCAGTTTATGTCCGCCATTCAACTGCACTTCATTGTTCTGTTTACAGTTTACTTGATGATCATCAAAAGTTGTAACCATTTTTGTTAGAATTTGAGAAGTTCAAATTGCCAATACAAAGGCGATGGGTGTAAGCCCTGTGCTATTACACATTGCTCCCTCTTGATTAGGCATCGGAAGTATATTCTAAGAATAATACAAAAAATCCCCCTTTTCTAAGAAGGAATAATGGATCATAAATGTTTTTTTTCTCTTAGTAGTTGTCATATCATCACAACTGATGTTTATATCAGCCGTAGAGACATCCAATTACCTGAATACCGTTGAAATATTTACTACATTCGGCGATGCAACGAGGGAGGTTGCCAGTGACAATTCTGTCTTCACCAAATGGCATTTGCAGTATATGTGCAGCTTGGTTGCAACCGACTTCTTTGTTTTGGTTTCTGAGACTCAATAAGGGAACTGCGGCTTCCACTTTAGCCGTTACTTCAGCAAGCGTTAAGCAGAGCTGTGGTTCTCTCGGTATAATGAAAGTGTATGTGTTGATGGACAACAGGGTGACAAAACAGCATCTGTATGGCATAAGTGCGTGTGGCTACTGTGTGCACATGTGGGTTTCCACCTGCACCGAACCAAGTGCTAAACAACTCGTCATCGCGAGGCTCATCTTGCGCTAAGCAGATCTTTTGTCTTTCTTAGCATTCCACTGTAACTCGCTTGAGCCACATTGTTTTGTAGCACCTGTGATTGTACATAAAAAAAACAACATGTAGTTCGTCATTTTATATACTCTTGTTAGGTGTAACTTTCGTCGTGTTCGTGAGCAAAATAATTTTGTGTCAGTGCTTCATTTAGCATGGGTTTTGCGAATAGTGTTTCGAGTAATTTAATTTTTTGTTGAAGGAACGTTTATCTATCGTCAGTGTTGCTTGTGTCTTCATGTGTTCACTACTTCTTCGCTATTCTGTAGTGCAGCTAGCAAATGTGTGTGCTCTTGCAATGTAAACAGTCTTTTACGGTGGTTGACGTGCCGGTAAAACTTTGGTTTCGTTTACATGTTCTTTCGGGAGATTGGTTCATTGCACGTTCTAATTGGTCGGCGATTACCCTCAAAAGCTGTCTTGCGCTGCTGCACGCTTTCACTGCGGTGCGTTTTAAATGCTACTCGAAAATGATGACCACTTAGTGACGTGAGATTTTTCAATCAGCGCAGAACACCTTCCACAACTCCATCAAAACTACAAAAGATTGATATCCTGGGCAAAAGGGTTGTCACTAGTCGCGTATAAGCAAAACATTACCTACTGAGCTATTACTGCGTGAATAAATAACAAACTTTTAAGCATATTGTACATGGGGACGAGTGCGTTTCAAACTTCTAGTTACGCAACTTGAAGCACTAAAACAGGCAAAGGGCGAATTTGCCTGGTAATAAAGGTAATGTTTCAGTACCTGTAATAGAAATTAAAAATAAAACAAAAACACATTGTGTTGTTAGCGTTAATACTCAACGCATGAGTAAACATTCTGAAATGTTTGAAGCTACAAAACATAACTTCGTCGTGGTTATTTGGCTTACGTCCCAAGTGTCACGTAACCAAGTAGAAGTAATGAAGTCTCGGAGGCTGCATGTATAGGTATAGGTCTTGCCAAGATAGGCAGCAGAGGGCACTCGTAACATCGTCCCCATTTCGAACGTTGCAATGTCGCCAACACGCACACTTGCTAAAGTGGCTGTGTCTTGACCAAATGTTCGCGCTTGAATCAGGTTCCTTGCCCTACTTAACACTCTATAGGCTGCTGTTCTACGAAGAAGGGGCCAAATTTGCCACTCACTGCCGCAATGTTCACTGAGCTTTAACTGTTCACTCTTTTCGATGTTTATGTGTTCCTCACAGATGTAACCACCCGTTATCACTGTAAAATGCTCGCAACTCATTTTCGTCTCTTTTCGTCTAGCACACGTGACTGACGGTCACAGAGTGGCACCCGAGTATAAATGTACTGTGGTGGAAAGAACGGAAGACCCAGGAGTGACAAAGGCTGGTGGCATAACAACACTTGTTTTTTGCTGCACACAAACAGAGTTTATTGCTTCGCAAATTCCCGAAAGTGGCTACCTTTGCCTTAAAGGCAACAGTGGGAACCAGTATTTTGAAGGGAAGCACAGATGGGACACAATCGCTGGTCGCAGGAGGAGGGAAGTATTTTTGATGACGTGCTACTGTGTCAAACAAAACAGGTAACAAATAGAAATAGAAAATTTAAAGGGTAGCGCTATTATTTCTACCTTTAACATAATTGCTCATTTGCATTTACTTGCCCAACAAAAAAAAAGTGGTGCATGAAAAGCAAACGTAGTTTTGTTTTTCTTTACTATCAAATTCCTAAAGACTGCTTTTCTCGCGTGACTGCGGCAGATTTGCCAAATAACACCGTCAGCGTATGACTTTCACACAGAAATATTTTAAATTTGACCTGACTGTTCTAATTGCTACAGTTTCGTTATATTTATTAAAATTATTATATTGACAATCAAATTGAAATAAGAGTATGTAGAAATAAACTATTTACAATAAATATATTTATATAAAAAGCTATGAGAAATTGCAGACGCACTGATAAGCAGTGTATCCACAGCCCACAGTTTAAAAATGTTATGGTGCCATATCACTACAAAAGGGAAAACAAACGTCTGTTTTCACCTGCGAATTCTGCTCGAAGAGTTACGTTGTGTCACTTGCTAGCCCGTTGTTTTGTTGTTCATACTTTCCTTGAGTTATTTTCAATGTCGTTGCCCAAAAAGTGCATAAGTATTGCAATGTTCTTTTCGTATTTAGATATTCTGAATAGAAGTGTCTGTGCCATTCCCTCTCCGGTAAACTTTTTTTTCCCTTCGAGTCTATAGTGATCGTCAT